GACATATTTGCATAGAGTGATGGTATCGAATAATGGTTTTGAACGATTTAGTTTATTGCCACGTCATATTATAGCTAAACGTAAAGTTATGAAAAGAAATATGTTAATTATGTTCATAACTTACGAACCGTTGAGTACGTACACATATAATTAGTATTTATCAATAATAATTATATATTTATAGTAAAAATATTTATAGTAACATAAATATTTATAGTAAACTAGAGTACTATCCAAAGTATTCTTTATCCCAAAAGATTTCTTTAAAATAATGAGTTGTCAAAAGAGGCTTTGTAGTCTTTTGAGCATAGTTTTATTGAGAAATACGTAAATTTTTAATAAAATTTTTGTTGTGTTAAGAAATAAATTTACCAAAAATAGGCCTTCTGCATTTACGAAAGTAATCTTATTACAACTTCCTCTAGCCTATTTCGCGATTCCATTCAGTTAAAAATTTTATGTTATTTAATACAAAACAATATTTACATCTAAATATTTATCGAACATTTAGCACCGTACATGAGAAAAAGTAATTTAAACATTTTGACATGTCAATTTAAAGAAAGAAGTCATATATATATACTTACGTATATGAATATGTACATATAATATATAATGAAGATGATTAAAGAGTCATAGGTACATAGACGAGAAGCAAGCGCAAGGATATAAATAAACGTCTTAATGTACCCAAGTACATGTTAAGGTCAAGGTGCATGTCTGCCCTTGTCCAATAACCGTTACATCAATCTGAATGACAGCTGACAGTACTTCGTGTGGGCTCTTCGTGGAAATCGTTTGAAAAGCATCGTGCATTCTAAGAAGCCACAGAATATAGCAAGACTAAAGACTAAGCCAATGTAAAACTGAAGTTGCGGGTGGAGAAAATATTTTATGGATTTTGTTGTTATTTAGTGGAAGCTCTGCATCATACGTAAGACCCCAATATCGTTAAATATTTCGCAAAGGGAGGGACGCTAATTATGATTTATGCTAATTTATTCTAACTGTGATAGGGCCACGCAACAGTGTTCACTGTTGCACGAACGGGCAGGTCCGTCCGGGTAAGTACCACGACTTCACAGAAGATTGGTGTAAAGTAAAAGTTTTACACTTCTACGTTTCGTTTGGTGAGTGAGGTAACCGGGCCCACTTTATTAAACGATGACAACGCATTTGCAACCCTCTGGGTGTTGCAAATGTCCATGGGCGGTGGTTATCGCTTAACATCAGGTGAACCGCCAGCTCGTTTGCCACTTTCTCACATAAAAAAAATGCTGTCAAAAGTAAGTTTAGAGTAGTTTTAGCTTGATCGGAGTATCCAAAGCTCTCGTAGTTAGATATTGCATATAACATATAAGATATTACATTTGATCGATTCTGTAGACCGAAGAAATAAAACAACGATGTCGTTATATTTTCACGGATGAATAATGTGTTGTCATTTTTAATGTGTAGAAGGATATATTCGATACCAAACATAATATATCAAAGACTACATACATTCATGAGCTATTGGGGATCTCGAGTTCCAAGGTGATAATTCTTTACGCTTTATGTAATAGGTTAAAAGAAATCCATTATTTTTCCTGTAGATGGCTGTAGTGAACGATATCTCGTAAATAATCGATCCAAGTTCAATGTGTCATTTCACACTAACAAAATGTTTTGTTGTATTTTTGTTTCGTCCGTTCAGTTGTGAGGTTACAAAGTGTTTAAATGGAAGTCAATAAAGTCAAAATTCGGTACATTTTCTAGTTTTTCTTTGATAAAGGTGAAAATGAAAGCAAGGCGGCTGAAATTGTGAATTTTGTTTATGGTGCCGATACTATAACAGCAAATTTACGTGCAATTTTGGTTTCGTCGATTCAGTATAGGATTTTTTATGTTAAAAATATACCTCGCACCGGCAGGCTCGTAGTCGCAAATGTCAACCAAATCACAGAAACAATCAAAGTTCATCGGCATTTTACTAGTCGTAGCATCGCCCAGGAGCTAAAGATCGACCATAAAACAGTTTTAAACCATTTGCGCAAATTTGGATTCAAAAAGAAGCTCGATATTTTGTGCCACACCAATTAACACCAAAAAACATGTTGGATACACTTTCCATCTGCGAAGCCTTGGCCAAAAGGAATGAAATCGACTCATTTATAAAAGCATGTTGACTGGGGATGAGAAATGGGTCACACACGACAATATTATGCGAAAACGATATATTGTGGTCAAAGCGCGGTTAAGCAGCTCAAACGGTAGCCAATCGAGGACTAACGGGCAGGAAGGTTTTACTGTGTATTTGGTGGGGCTGGGCTTATTATGAGTTGCTTCCGTATGGCTAAACGCTAAATTCAGATTTATACTGTCAACAATTGGACCGTTTTAAGCTAGCGATTGACCAGAAACGGCCAGAGTTGGCCAACAGAAGAGGTGTTGTGTTCCATCAGGACAACGCCAGACCACATACGTCTGCAGTGACTCGCCAGACACTCTAGGAGCTTGGGTGGGCAATTTTAATGCATCCACCATATAGTTCGGACCTGCCGTGTTACTCCTCAAATTCGATTCAAATTTGATTTTGTTCTCGATTCGAACTCACTCTTGATTCGAACTCGATTTGAAAATCTTACTCTCGAACCGAATCGAAACTAGAAACAAAACCGTGCGTTATCAAATCCGTTAACTGTATCTGGCCTATTACGTCACAGACAAATGTTCCATGTTTACGGTAATAACATCTTTCTTAGATAAGATGTTAATTGCTTATTTTTTTTTCGAAAAATTATCCGATCATAGTTAGTTCCAATTAGAGCCACTACTCGATTGTGCGCTGGCGTCAGATTCAGTGGTACGAACTGCCACGAATTCGAGTCAAATTCGATTGATTCAGACCTCGAACCTGTCGGGAGTAGGCAGCCTGGCACCGAGCGATTACCACCTTCTTTTCGCAAATTGCACAATTTCTTGTTTGATAAAAAACTGGAATCAAGAGAAGATTGCGAAAATCGATTATTAGAGTTTTACGCCAATAAGGACCAAAACTTTTATGAGAAAGGCATTATAAAGTTACATTTAACAAATTTGCAGCAAATTATCCAACAAATACATATTTGACCCAAATCGGACAATCCAAAGCATGTTAATAAAGTCTTGAATTTCGCGCAAAAATAACGGATTTATTTTTCCCCAACCTTACCAGTATATCTGCTTTGTGTCCATGACATTTTCGCATCCGAAGGTCCCATATCGTCGTCAAATCTATTATGAAACTCTATCTGCACTTGGGTTTTGTCAACGTCTTAGCATATTCAAACAACTTTATGTACTGTATAAAACTGACTGTCCTCAAACCTCTTGCAATTCTATATGCAAATGGCCTCATAGGTTGAGCTCTTGCGGATGTGAAGTACTATTTTTGCGTATGCATTAAAGATCAGCACTAACACAATTTCATGAAGTGATAAACGTAAATTAATCTATTGTATAGAAAACAAAAGCATTATCTAAATTAATGGACACAGTTCTTAGTTAAATATCTCCGTTTTGTCTATTAGATATTTTTGTATTTTGCTTACTTTACAATTTGAGACTTGGAACAATGTAAATGTGGATGTTAATAAATTTTCCAGTCTAACAAATGGCTAATCTCGAGTTTTGTTTGAATAGAAGAATAAATGCGCTTTCAATTTGCGCTTATCGCCACTCAACTTTAGTTACTACTGGAAGTTCTTCTCGGTAAACGACTAAGTTTCCATTATCTACTGGTCTAGACTACTCCGTATAATAAGGTAGAAATTATATATCAGCAGCAAAACCACTCCTGATATATTGCCATGAGTACTGACATTCGAGAGCTATTGGCACAAGAGAATACATAGCATTTATTATATATTTATGTTTGTTATATCTGACCTTCGTCATTGATGAACCGATTTTAAAAAAATTCTTTACTTTGGGTTCGACTTAGCGTGGTTGTACTTGAGGCCCCATATTTCATTGGACTTCGGAAATACATCAAAATCAAGTAGAAAATGGAGTGAGTGAGAATTTATTTGAAGTCGATTTTGTTTATTTGGCAATAAAAATGTAACACAAGAACTTGTGCGACAACCACATTGCCGCCGCACTTGTAGAAGTGTGAGTGGAGGACTTGTGCGACATCGAGATCGCCACCGCACCTGTAGAAGTGTGAGCGAAAGACTTGGAGGACTTGTCCGACAACGTTGAACTGTCGCACCTTCGGCATTGTATATAGAGGTTTTACATGGCAACAAGAGTACCGCCCCACCTGTTTTATTTTTAAATAAAGTGAAGGTATAAAAAATAGATATCGGCGCTTCACTCCAATCCTACAACATTTATAAGAAATGTGAGGTTCTTGACTTTATTATTAAGTATTATCTAATTAATGTTGGAACTCTTTATATATTATGTTCATATCTTTTTCTCATATTATATAGCGACAACTTTTCTTCGAAATAGAATGTCAGCTCGCCGTGGAAGAATTTTCATTACGAACGCTTTAGGAATAAAAATATATTTCACTCCTATTTATTTATATAGTCTGGAGGCTTGTACACAATGACATAGGTACTTGAACTTTATTACATATTTCCGGTTAACAGTTCGTAGAAGTCGATTCAAGAAACTTATTAAAAATATTTCTTCCCGTGATAACTCGACAAGCTGAACCCGTTATTCATTTCAATTTAATACACGACGGAAGCTGCAATATTTCACGGAATCCTTTATTGCTATCGGCGAATATCGCTCGCACTTTATATAAGAAATAAGTCACCTTTATGTATGACATAAGCTATATAAAATTATTGTTAAACAACTTATTTCGTATTTTATATCGTTTATAAAAAAAATAAGGTGTGTTGTAGGCAAATAAAAATAGGGCTTAGATAAAGAGCACAAAAACAATTACTTGCACAAACTTTAAAAAATGAAACTTGCAATACATATAAAATTTATTGTTAATTGTTACAGAAGACAAAATGGGCTGCTTCGTTAGTAAAGACAAACTTACTAAGGAGGACATGGATTTCCTCAAAACTCATACATCTTACGATGAGACTACTATCAAGGAGTGGTACAAGGGGTTCAAGGTAAAAATAATCATTTAATACGTAGAAATATAAGAATATAAACAACAATATGAATCAAATTTTTAAGAAGGAAAGGCTAAGCCTTCTTTCTTATTTCATTTAAAAAAAATTAAATAAGAAAATACTTTTAACGTTACTGTTAATAGTTCTATCCTTTGGTGTAACCTAATCAGGGTAAAATTTTTAATTTACAGCAAGATTGCCCCAACGGGAGGTTGACTCCTGCGAAATTCGTCGACATGTACAAGATGTTCTTCCCATCGGGTAACGCTGTGGAGTTTTGTGACCATGTTTTCCGCACCTTCGACATGGATAGGAACGGCTACATCGATTTCAAGGTAACAATTCAATCAATAACGCAACATATCATTTGGCGCGATCACTGCGAATTCTCAAGCGATATTAAATTAAACATTGACTAAACTAAGCTAAGCGAAATATACTAATTACGTTTCATTCAGCACTCGCTTGATTGCGCAGCGCTATTGGATTTGCGAAGATAAACAATACGTGATTGATGAATTTGTTGCATTATTTGGACTTTGTTTGATCATCGTGTATCGAGTTGTGCGTTTGTTATAGGAGTTTCTGCAGGCGATCCATGTGACTTCCAGCGGCACACCCGAGGAGAAACTTAAATGGGCTTTCCGTATGTACGACGTCGATGGCAACGGTGTCATTGATATACAGGAGATGACTAAAATAGTGCAGGTTAGTAACTCGTTTCTTGTAGTATGATTTAGGTATAACAGGTATGTTCTTTATTACTATATCGATATCGTCTATCCCAACGGAAAGCTGGTCACAAACGCACATAGAACAAAACACAACTGTATTCAGCATTATAAGACGTAATGAAATATTTTTTAATAAATAAAATAATTAGTATAATACTACGCGGGGCGTACAGTGGATGGGTACTATTTTAAATATTTTTTCAATAATTGCCTCACTTCAGTTCTTTTGTAGTTTTCATAAAACGGGACCCTTTTACTAAGTCTCTCTGTCTTTCTGTCCGTCTGTCATCAGACTGTATCTCATGATAGTTATCCGTGATAGTTAGACAGTTGAAATTTTTACACATGATGTTTTTCTGTTGACGCTATAAAAATACTAAAAAAATAGAATAAAAAATATTTGGGCTTCCATAAAACACACATGATATTTTTGCGTGTATCAAGTCTATCGGCGTTATAAGCCTATGCACTTTACACATTCTATTCAGTAATTTCGTACTAGAGGACACCGTTATTCAACTCCAATTGTTAAATATATAATAAATAGCATCTACTTCGTTAACTATATACATAATTTAATAATTTTCAGTCATGAATTAGAACTGAACGAGATGTATTATGGAAAAAAAATAGTAAACGTAATAAAGCTTTCGTCCCTGGCAATATTTTCTTACTTGGATAGAAGGATTTTTCTCGTCTAAATTTTGATGAAATGTTCGAACTTGTTATGTCGTTAACTTTTGACATCTTGTCTTCACAAGATTGTGCCAGACTCCTTTCTCTTGACAGCACCAGCTATATTCCTAAACTTAAGAATACTTTTGAATATTCCAGGCCATATACGATATGCTGGGCGCCTGCTCTAGCAACAGGCCTGCTGACTCCGCTGAAGAACGCGCGAAGAACATTTTCGCGAAGATGGACGAGAACAATGACGGGCAATTGACCCAGGAGGAGTTTCTCAAGGGGTGCCTTCAGGACGAAGAGCTGTCAAAGATGCTGGCCCCCTAAACTAGTTATTTGAAGCTAGTCCCGTGTCACAACCCCACATTTGTGTTGTCACCTCGCGATAATCCGACGGCGTCAAGTTATTAGCGCGATGGTGATTTTAATTGACCCCACCGCAATACAATATTGAGAACGGTATAAAATAACTGTCAAACTACAGAAATTACTTAATTTTCTTATGGTTCATTTTTAAAGGTTATATTGATTTTGTTAACAAAGCACAAAACTGATCAACACATCTGAACTAGATATACAATACATGTTTTTGGGTAACGTAATCACTTACACTGAAACACTGACTTCTTTCGTCAAGTAGCAATGGGCTGTCTATTATATCTCATGCAACGCTAATCATACAGTAGCACCACGACACTTAAGACGTTTGTCGTAGTTCTTGTCGCAGTCGGATTGTCAAATACCTATATATGTCCTACTATATTTATTACTAATCTATACTATATGATGAATGTATTCAATTGCCCTATGTCATATTACTATGCACCAGTCAACAATTGTCAATCTTAATTTATTTATAAGATAAAAATTAGCATAATGTGTGAGCGGATTTGATCAGATTGACCGTACGCATTGTCGTATGCTGGACAAAAGCATTTGTAGGTTTAACAACATTAACAACTGACCAGCTCCGTTAATTTCCAAATCGAATTATGTAAGTTTTCTCAACACATAATATTTGAATAAGATGCGTAAATATAGTTTTAATGTCAATATTGGCGTATTAATATCATTCTTACTCGGTGTTTTTATTCTTAATAGTGCAATGTTTACCATTTCGCTTGGGTTTATTTGAAAACTAAGCCCACTAAATTGAGCATTTTTCACTTTTAATTTTAGGGGCTTTACTGATCCACTTCATGTATGGTACATTAGCTACAATATTTTTGATTACCAAACTCTAGTAATATTTAAGAATTTTTTAATGATATCTATTGATATTTCCCTTCAGTTATTTCTATTTCCACTACTGTGCCTTCTAGTTGTCTGTAAATAGTTTTATCTTGTACTGTTTTATGTTAAACATTTCACAAATTTGAATCGTTTTTGAAATTTTTTCTTTTTATATCTATTATATCCAGTCTATTAATATTTGTTTTGTATTTTACTAACATAAACGATGAAAAGTACGTCACTCTGATTTAAATTTGTGCATTTAATACCCAATGAATATTTGTGAACTTTATGTACCGGTTTTAGAGAATTTTAAAGTTTTACACATTAATTTTAAGATCATACGAAGTTCATTGCACGAGTCCTAAAAATTTATATAAATCATATAAGAAACAGTCAAGGATTATATATCTTATATTATTTTATTAGATTATGAAATCTTCATCGCTATTCATCAAAACAATGTAATAAACAACAAGCCAGGCCAGGAAAAACCATCAACAACTTAGCCCATTTAGTTTTACTTTTAAGACATTGCAAAATTACTTGCACTGAAATTTCAATATTTTTTGAAAAAACATTCCATGTTTATAACTATTATTGTAAATCAAATTTGTATAGTATTTAATTTTTATTTATTATTCTGTCAAGTAAGTATCTCTATCCTTTTTTTGAATTACTATTCTTTAAAGAAAAAATCGAAACCTTCTATTATTTACGTAACTTTTTAATTTTCTGTTATCCCAGTTTTATGTAATATAAAAAGAAAGACGTAAGTAACTCTATTAACCATATTTTCTTTTGCTTCTGATACAAAATTTTTATAATATAACATAATTTGTTTGAAATAGAAACCCAATCGAACATGAGCCAGGCTGGCGTTTGTGGTTAGTGTAAGTGTCAGAATATTTATAACCTAGACTTTTCATTACGCAAATATATCGCTGAGGTGCAGTATTAATTTTGAGATAAGGAACAAGTTAATTAAAAAACGAGCAGAGATCTGAGACTACGCTAGAAAAGCAGAGGGATCAATAATACTCATCTATTAACTGGTTTGACCCGCTTACAGGGTTTTGTATGACATATCACGAAATTGGACTTAATGAAAACAACCCAATAGCGATGAGTCATTTTATAACGGGACCCCATACATTTTGCGTAAAATAATAAAGAGCGGTTGTGTTTCGATTTTCATTTATCGATCTTGTCTAAAATGGTTTAACCATTTTGGTAAGCAAGTGGGTTCATTTAAATATTTCAGCCATACCTTGACTTACTTGCATTTATAAGGTTTCTGTCGATTTAAAAAGAATAATTAATTTATTTATTTAATGACACTTCACGATACCTAAGTCCATTTCCTAGAATATTGTAACTTAGCTTAGATATAATAATTTGAAATACGCACAAATTTCGAGACAATTTGTTTTTTCTTATTATGTTATTATATTTTAATACTTAATTTTTAGTCATTAATTTTAAGAACTAACATTTTCTATCTCATTTAATTTTTTAAATAAATATTATTTTTTTTAATTAACTATTCGGGCTTACATTAATATTACAACTGTTAATACATTAATATTAATATTGTTTTTGCGAGAATATTTGTTGTTTGTATAAAATTTAAAGAATCAATTGAGAGTTTGGATCAATTTACACAGTTTCGGTTGTTGAAACTCTTTCTGCAATATTACAAAAAGTTAATAGCTCAATTCCTAGTCTAACTGTGTGTCATTCTTGTCAATTTCGTCTTTCTTCCCTCGTGTTAATTTTAAGGGACTTTAATGTTTTTAAACCCTCTTTAGGCATAGTTGCATTTTGCGAGACTACCTATCAAACGCTTCAAGCACAGATCATTTTGTACACTATTTGACTATGCAACTTTATAAAATTATTTATGTAGTAGATACGTGTCATAGAATAGGTATACTTGAATATCTAAGTAGTAGCTAATGTTAAGTGTGAAGGCAAAATCAGAGAAAATTGTTTATCGGTTTTAAACACAAACCTCAATTTTTATTTGTACTGTATTATTTTAATGTTTGTATTCGTGAAATAATTTATGCCATAATTTGTAGCCAAAAACCTCAAAACGACATTAACATATTTTCATTAACTGAAATAAGTAATCCACAAATTTCAAATAAACAACAAAATTTGTCCTAAAACCTTATGAAATAAGTTGAAATTATGTATGTTGTGTGCTGGCATGTAATTTTTCCTTTTTTATTGCAATTAGCATTATAATATTCTAGAGAGTCAATGTCCTGTATGTCATTTTTGAGAAAATTTCTGTCACTTCTTTTGCTTTATTATTAAGACTATTGTAATGTTTCTATATACAAACAATGAGAAGCTACAACATACAAATATTTGCGATATGTAGAAAAAAAAACGTAGGCTGCTTGAAATCAGCCATTTGTAACATCTGGTGAGTTCTAACTACGAAATTACTTAAATATTCACATTTTAATTATTCGTATCTGTGTAGGAAATATATATAAAACCAAATAAAATTATGCTTGGTTTTTTTCTATTGCTCCTTTATTAAAACCAATTACTCATAGTAAAGTATGTCTACTCTTTAATACTTTCCGTCTGAAGCAATGGTAGTTTATTAGTTCAAAACGTTTAAATCTTTTAAAAAACAAAATCTTTAAATATTTCTTTGATTACGAACAAAACTATTTCTAATTCCAAGTAAACTTAAAAGTATTGAAATCATTTGAAATGTTGGATGATCAAAACATTATTTTTGTAGTCGATAAGTGTCATTGAATAGATTTACTGCAATGTTTAAGCAGTAGTTATTGTTAAGTCAATACTTCGTTCTACCGTTCTTTAAGAGTCACCGAGATGACCTATAAAGGATTTAGTTGTTAGTATTAGGTACAGATAAGTGCAGATTGTAAGTAAAAGTGAAGTAATGCTTTGATGTTTGGGCACGTGAGAAAGGGTTAACTGAGAGGAGTTAAGAAGAGAAAGTTTGTTGAAAAGATGTTAAATGACTTCTGGGTCGAAATTTCTTCTACAAGACCAGACCGATTGGGAATGAGCTGCAGGAAAGCCCTGAAGGTAAAAAAGGTAGGAAAGAGATGAAGGTAGAAAATACCTCTAAACTACAGGGTGTGCACGGAGCTTGGTTAGGTTATTTATTCACCACAGAAGTGACAATCACCTTCTCTAGTGATTTATATTAGTACTACATAGAATTTTATATATTACTAGCTGTGCTCGCGACTTCGTCCGCGTGGAATTTAAAATAAAAAAAAAATCTAAAATAAAAGTAGCCTAAGTTACTCCTTATTACATCAGCTACCTGCCAGTGAAAGTCTCATCCAAATCAGTCCAGCCGTTTCAGAGATTAGCCGGAACAAACAGACAGACAAAAATTATACAAAATGTTATATGTACCGTGTATACATCCATATGCATTTAGTAAAAAGCGGTTATTTTAATATTACAAACAAACACTCCAAGTTTATTTATCTGCATAGATGCATTTGAGTAAGAAAATTATTCTGAATAATCATAGAACCCTATAAATATTTTTTTAATACATATCATTAAAGTTCAATACACATTTATGTGGAAAATAAGTACTTCTATAGAATACTTATGATCCTTTTATATTAATGACTTGTCATATTTGGTCATATCACACAATTTTATCGCACAGATAAATGTTTAACATATTTCAGCTACATTACACTCAGTCAAAAAAGCTACAGGTGCAGTACATAGAATTTATAAATGAAAATTTTATCCTATTTTGTTAAATAACATCATTTTCAATACTTGCAACAAAAATTAACATATTTGCAATTATACAAATTCTGTCCAACTATAAGCCACCATATTGAGCATGATTTGCAGGCGCATTTAAAGGCATATCAAAGGAATTAAATAAATTCAAAACTCGTTTTTTTTTTGCTTAAGCCGCCATAAGAAGCAACAAAAATAAAAGAAAACAGAAATCAACACAAATTATTGCTCACCATAGATGTTATCCTAATATTGTATTAGGATTCAGGTTTTAACGATTATTTATTTCCATATTTCGAATCTAATAACATTAGAAATAT